CAACCACAGAAATGCTGACGCGTGGATGCCTATTGGTCCCGGTTGATGCCACCAACCGGGACCAAAGGGTCTCCTGCCTGGGCTCCGCGCACAGGCCACGTGGAGGCCCATCTGTCCCGGTTCTGGATTGAACCGGGACTAAAGGACAGGGTATTAGTACCGACCCTTTAGTCCCGGTTCCAGAACCGAGACAACAGGCCCTTTTTCTACCAGTGAGGAACTTCTCATTACAAAAATTCACACAGATCGATATTACAAACCTTGTGAAAAAAACTGAACCATCACACGTACATTTGCCTTACACACATACTTATCCCTCACAACTGTTATTCTGAATGATACGTAGAAGATAAAGCTAACCCGTGACATAAATAGCAACGTCGCTCACTAACTAACAGCAACAAGCCATGGCTAAGATACAGAGGAACTTTACCAATTTCATCGCTTGGCGGGAGGGTGGTAGACCGGACTTAGTGGTGTCCGTGGTATCCACCGCCACCACCGCCGCCGTAGGTGGGCGTGGGAGGGACGGGGTGGTAGTCCGGGTGGGGCTGCGGCTTCGGCTCGGGCTTGGGCACGGGCCCGTAGTCCGGGTGGGGCTGGGGCTTGGGCTCCGGCTTCGGTGGCACGGGCTTCTTGTGATGGAAGTGCTCGATGATGTGCTTCTTGATTGGCCCGCACAGGGTCGCCGACGCGCACTCTGGCGATGCCAGCGCGTTCGTCTTGGCGCCGGCAACGACCCCGAAGGTGGTGCCCTCAGACACCGGCACGATCTTTGATGGCTCCTGGCCGGAGCATGGTGCGTTGGAGGCGGCGCTGTGGAGCTGTGCAACGCAGTCGGCGCTGTGGAGGTCGGCGGCCACGGGCACGCTGAAAGCGCCGGTGCCGTCAAGGGCACCCACCGCCTTGCTCTCGTACTCGCCGTTGACGTTCTTGCACTTGATCGCCACCTGAAGACCTGAGGTACGTTCATGGCAGAACAACAGTGAGCAGAGCAACATCATGCATTTACAAAGTGGAGTATTCTATATAATCTAGCTAGCTAGCGCTTACCCTTGAAGGCTTCCTCGGCCTTGATGTTCTTCCTGGTGCAGTCGGTGCACTTGGCCAGGCCGACGACGACCGACGCCGCCTCAGCATTGGCAACGGCGATCGCCAGCAGGAGGGCGAGGACGAGTGATGCTCTCGGAGCTGCCATGCCTGAACCTCTGAGTCGCACTACCACTTGCTTGGCTGTGTGAAGTGGCTGATGGATGAATGGATGGAACAGGCGACGCATGGCTTATATAGGCCTCGGCATTGATCGGCACAGCTCGATGGATGATCTGGCTGCATGCTCCAAGGGTGGTGTCCGGCGAAGTGATGCGCGACAACGAGAGGCCGGCTAACTCACCGAAATTTTAGATGGTGGGTTAAATGCGGCGCCCGCTGCATGATCGGATCGGCCGGTGCGAGTGCCTCCACGTCGCTGTTGGTGATGGACTTGGTTTGGTGGCGGAGTACGTAAGTAGGCACCGGCGGCCGCAGCCGCGGCCGCGTCTCTCGATCGGCATGCACATGCATTTGCGTGTAGTAGTAGCAGCAGCAGCAGTACCCTGTTTGCTGGTGGTAATCTGGTGTTGGTTCGCCATCAGAATTGCTGTAAAGGGCCACGTCCATTTTGGGGAGTAGTGAGCTTGTGGTACAGTACCAGTGGGAAAAGCAGTGCTTTGTTTCTCACAAATAGAATGTTGTGAAAATATGAGCTGTTTCCAATTATGTTTAATCCAAGAAAAAACAGCTAGAAGATGATCAACATAGTGGACATGATATTCGAACAAGAGGAGTTTAAAAAAACAAGAGAAGTTGGTAAGCAGAACAGATATTCTATTCGACGGGTATGGTGAACATGGCATGTCCAGATCTAAACTAGTAGTAAGGAACCAGAAGCAATCCTTAACCCAAGGGGAAAACAACGTATGATGTGGCGGATGAAGAAGTGTTCGCAGTCGCCCCACCGTGGGCGGTTGACATGGCGTGGAGGGAGGGGGGGGGGGTCATTGTTGAGGAAGTCTGTGTATGCCGCCATGTCGGAGGGGATGCTAGCAGTCGTGGGAGAGCTCTCCCCAAAAATCCAAATGTCCTCTCTCTCATAATGATCACAATTGACGGGGTTTTGGAGGTCTGATATCCCACATCGCGGTGCATGATGGAAAGTGGATTGAGAAAGATGTAGGCGGCTCAAAGCACTGGAACTGAAGGATGGTCTCATGTACATCTCTCCATGGCCCCATCTATGGAGCAACCTCTAATAGACTCCGGCAACCGAAACCGGTCCACTATGGAGGAGTCGAAGAGGAAGGGTCTACAAATGTTCCTTTTCAATTATGAGTTGGTTCCAATTATGTTTAATCCAGGAAAAAACAGCTATAAGATGATCAACATAGTGGACATGATATTCGAACAAGAGAAGTTGGTAAGCAGAACAGACATAGTATTCGACGGGTATGGTGAACACAGCATGTCCGGGTCGAAGCTAGTAGTAACGAACCAGAAGTGATCCTTAACGCAAGGGGAAAATAATGTATGATGTGGCGGATGAAGAAGTGTTCACGGTCACCACACCGTCGGCGGTTGACATGGCATGGAAGGAGGGGGAGTCGTCATCGGGGTAATCATCGTTGAGGAAGTCTATGTATGCCGCCATGTCGGAGGAGATGCTAGCAGTCGTGGGAGAGCTCTCTCCAAAAATCTCACTGTCCTCTCTCATAATGATCACAATAGACGGGGTTTCGGAGGCCTGATGTCCCACGTCCCGGTGTATGATGGAAAGTGGATTGGGAAAGATGTAGGCGGCGCAAAGCACTGAAACTGAAGGATGGTCTCATGTACATCTGTCCATGGCCCCATCTATGAACAGGGGAGCAACCTCTAATAGACTTAGGCAACCAAAACCGGTCCACTATAGAGGAGTCGAAGAGGAAGAGCCTACAAATGTTCGATTTCATCTTCTGCTAATGAAAAAAAAGGTTTTGACTCCTGTCATGCACGGAAAAAAAGAGTGCCACAGACATGACAGAGGTCATAGTCCAGCTCGTTCACGTAACACGTGTCATGCCAGGTGATGTTATGCAAGTGCATAGAGTTTAGGTGTGTCTGTTTTTGAAGTAGAGTATCGATCCCACGAAAGCTGGAGAAATGTTTTTTTCTGTCATAGAGGTTTATCGTAATGTGCTTGCATGTTATTTTAGGCCCCAAGAAAAAGCGGTGAGAAGGGTGAAATATTGCAAGTGTGTGAAAACAAATATTAAAGTCCGTAGGAATAATGACTAAGAGTCAGAGACAAATGAAAATGATGGAAACTGCAACAGATCTTCATGGAGTCTGGATTCATCACTAGTATTTATTATAATTAATTGTTTAGAAACACAACCTTTGGTTCAAATGTGATCTCTGTTATATATGTATTGTACACGAAATGACAATAAACAGATATGTGCATACTGCCACAGTTATGTATCACGCACGCCACCAACGTCCCTCCAATACTAAAATTCCCCCATATCTGCAATAACTCAATAACTAGTGAATTACTCACACATATAGGCACAAGACATCGCCAAGGTGGTCATGGCAATGAAAGATGAATTATTAGTTTAACACCGTATAACACTAGGATTTGGTATTACAATGAGCTGAATGATGGATTCAATGTCAAGTATGTGGATGATGTTGCTGCGGATGATGAATGATGCCGTGGCCTCGGTGGTCAAAGCTTCGGCGAGGTGGTGCCCTTGTGTTGATTCCCACTTCACATCCCTTCCGGAGACGAGGTTTCCTGCTTCTGTCTCGTGGTCTATGGTCTCTCCGTTGGTCACATCTGTTATCTAGTTGCACGGGGTGGAAGTTGTCCATCAAGTAGACATGGTAAAGTGTAGAAATTTTTGTGATTATAATGAAAAAATAAGCAAAATGCGACATAAAATTCACTCATCAACATCCCCAAGCTTAGACCTTTTCTCATCCCTGAGCAAAACTACGGCTCGGAGAATAGGATCATCACACTCATGAAGCCCGAGTTGTCATAATCAAATGAGGGCATTGCTGTGAAGCATTACTCATAAAAGATATAGAACCATCATGAGTATTAGCATACTTATAATGAAAAAATGGCTAGAAAGGCTCCCATGCCTTTACCGATTGAGTGCTTAGCGAAAGAAAAACAATCTAATAGACTAAGATATTCAAGCTTGATCGAACGGGAGATGAGGGGCTCTCAAATTTTTTAGAACCCCGCATAGCCTTTTAGAATTTAATATGTAAAGAAATCTCTTTCATTTTCTCGTGTAATATTAAGCAAGCTTATTTTCCCATGAAACAACGTTTATCTCATATTTTTATGAGTATCGCGTCATCAAAGCTAAGCATGCTCAAGGTTTACGAGAGAAAACGAAAGCGGTCTACCCAAGTGCTAATTTCAAAATGGAGTATGAAACCATCCATGTTTCATGGTTTGAGAGTACCACCTCTACTTTTTACTCATTATATGCTAAAACAATTTGGCAAAAATAATAATTTTCATCCTTTTATTTATCTTTTTGAAAAGCTAGTGAAACCAAAAATACTCTAACATAACAAACCTACACTTAACAATCAAAATAGTGGTGCGGATGACCCTATAGTCATTCAAAAGTAAGAAGTACACTAGAACTCAACCTAACTCATATCTCTAATAAACATATTGAATGTTGTAATATCACCATTCATCATTAAGACACGCTGAGCATAGGATAGGTAATTCCTCCCCTGCATCGTGGGGAGCTTTTTTGGAACTTATTATGCAAAACTTAAAATAAACTAACTCACTTTTGAGGAAAGTAAACATACAAAAACAGTAAATATGCAAGGGCTTATGAATCTCCCCAAGCTGAAAAAACTAAGATAGTGGTATCCAATAATCCCTCTTAGTCCCTGGTACCGCGGGGTTTCTTCTCGGTTGTGGTGGATGTGTTGTGGGAAAAGTCCTGATGGAGCAACTCATTAGTCTTCTCTAGGTCGGCATTGTGATGTGGTTTCATGCGCACAGTTTACTCTTGGTTGGCGATGAGTGTGACACGGGCTTTGAGACTGGACTTAATTAGTGTCCTCAGCAATCTTTTTCTCCAACTGACTGATGCGTTAAGGCAAAAGATCATGGTGGATGTGTGACTCATTAGCATGTACCTCGAGTCAAAGAATAGGCTCATCAATGTTGATAGGATGCGGCATCGGTGCATAATTGGGGTTGACGGCGTACTTCTTCTCCCATGCCCTAGATAGCTTGACAAATATTTGATCCCCAATATTGATCTTTTTTGTGGTAGGTGTGACGAATTTTACTCATAGGTACCCTTCAACGATCTATGGATGGTGTGGCCATTCACGATGGTTGGGGTACCCTCATTTGCAGGTGCAGGATTGCTGGAGCTTGTATGTTTAAGAGATTCAACTTGCTCCTTACCAATGAGTAACTCTTATGGCTCATGTTGCTCCATCTCTACCTCCTCGGGGAATCTTTATTCATATGAGCTACCTCCAACTTGATCCCACACTCACCAGTCATATTCAAGCCCTCGTGCCAATGCATCGGGAGAAGTGTCTTCTAGCTTGAAATCCTCCTCATGGAAGGGGCTTGATACCTGTGGCTAGCTTCCACCGGCAGCAAGGTGATCATCCTCCTCCTGTGAGGTCGTCTGGCATTCGTCCCATGAGCATAGCAATGGCCTAAGAGATACTTGTCTTTGCTTAAAAACTTAATATGCAACTGGAATAGATTGGTTTATCAATGGGCAAAGGAGAGGCCTCCACAAAGGTATATAAAGAGGTAAAACCGTCAGATATTCACGAGATTAGGTTTCGGAAGAATATTAGGAAATAAACCAAATATTTTCAGGAAAGAATCAGGAATTTCCGCGTGATCAAAAGCGAAGACGTGGCATGGTACAAGTTGTTGCGCTCATACCAGCAGACCGCCGTGCATGTGCCCTTCGGGCAATCACCACCCTGGCCCACCCAGTACAAGGCACCATACTACTTCACCGCCAATCAGTACAGTCATCCCGACACTCAACAATCACCACAACACTTCGTTGCATCCTTCACCTCCGGCCACCCTCCACCGTACACCATCGACCTCAGCAGCTACTACGTGTTCACCGAGTCACCAACACTCATCCGATCGCGTCTTCCGCCAAGGAGCCCTTTTCTGGCGGTGCCCTGTCATTATTTGGCGGAATGCCTCCCCCAAGCTCGATGGCAGCAGTCGGGCAATGAGGTGATGATGGACATGATCCGTAATGGTGGTGGCCACGAAGACAGACAAGTCTATGACGACTACTAGCCACACATCCAAAGCAAGAGATGTCGACGGACACCCAGTAGTCGTTGGTGTCTGATTCGGGCACAAAGAAAAATAGGGGTTTGGCATACTCGAACTAGGAGGATGAATTACTATGATTGGCGTGATTAGGCACAAGTTTTGAACCGTTTCAAAGCATGGAGCAAAAGGCTCGACGCTTTGGCACAGTGTGCATGATTGGTTTCATGAGAAAAAACAGTACGAGCCCTACAGCAAGGAAATGATACAGAATGGCAATCCGGAGTCACTAAGCCTTCGATGGTACACCATTCAAGAGGCCGTCAACATGTATCGTGGTGCGTATGAACAAATGGAAAATTGTGATCAAGTGGCGCGTCACTCCTCGAGCTCGTAAGTTTTGCTTAGTGATGCTCTATGTGTTGGTCATTTGATTGATATTCTTTATGTTGCAACTTTCTAATCATGTCATTGTATTGCTTTGCTAGCCCGGACATGTGGCCATGTTGTTCCAGAAGACCGAGGGCAAACCATTCACAATGATGCATTGTTGGCACAACTTGAATGCGCAAAGCAAGTGGAGCAGCATTACCAATTCTGTCAAGACCACAATGCCAAAGTAAGTGATGAAGATGGTGATCCAAGCGGTGTAGTTGGAGGAGGGTTTGCACCGGCCACCCGTGTGGCCAGGTCGAAGGAAAGGAAATGGGAGATCGAGAAGGAGAGTGAGAAAGGACGACAACCAAGATGACAGAGAAGCGCAATGAGATCAAGGAGGAAATTGTTCATGGAAATCCAAAAGAAGAAGATTGAGCTTAGTGTTAGGAAGCTTGCGATCAAGCAAACGTGCGAGGAGCAAAAGATCTTGCACGTGGAGCCCCATGACTTGGACCCCGAAGCGGCCAAGTTTGTTCCTGACTTACGTGATAGCATGCACGCACGCTTTGCGCAAAAGGAGGCGGGGGGAGAGGCCGAAACTTGAAGCCGGTTCATTTGCTTTTGGGTTCGATAGATGTATATAACTTATTGAATGTCTGGTGATTTTGCTATTGGCTGCATTTGTTTGCCACTATTTAAATTTGTTATTGATCTTGAAAATTTAACAAAGTGAAAAGGCCAGGCAAGTATTTGGGAGCAAATTTGAAGGACACAATTGGATGACGTCCATCCGGCCGGTGATCGCTGTTGGAGATATTGTAAGTCAGGCATATGTGGAAAATGAGTGTAGTTGGCTGATTCAGTTATAGGAAATTCTCATTACAAAAATTCACACCGGTATTACAAACACCCGTACATTTACCTGACACACATGCTTATCCCTCACAACTGTTATTACTAAACAGTATAACTCAGCCACCTACACCCCTCTACAGCGATTTGAACCCCTGAGCCGTCGGATCTCCTTCACTAACGTC